GATCCAGCAGCTGTGTCAGTAGACAGCAACAAATAATGGCAACAGTGTGCTTTAATGATGGAGACCTCTCTTGTAACACTCACACAAACACATCGAACCCTGAATCTTGATCAGACAGTGCCTTTCTAATTGAGCTAATCCCCACTTCAGGATCACTGCCATCCCCTGAGGTCTGACCCTCCACCCCGGCCGTCTCAGTTCCCAGCTTAAGGCTCCCGTCCCCTCCGTGGCTCATGTGGACTGTAAAGCTGTTTATTGGGAGACAATGGGCAGCAGATTGTGCTGTCAGGCTCCATTAATTACCATCATTAGCATCACACTCCAGAGTCTGTGGAGCTGGACTGCCAAGCCGAAAGCCGTGTTGCACCACAACACGAGTGTGTGCGAAAGCAGACACACATTACTTGTATTTTTACAAAAAACAATGTAAAGAATGAAAAAGTGTCAGTCAGGGTAAATCCCACTGCACATTACAGTTTTTGCTGTATCGCAAATAATTTGATATATCATGTGAAGATTATCAGCTTTTTATAATATCCAAGTGTGTGTGTGTATGTGTGTATATATATATATATATATATATGCAAAATTTAGAGAGCGTCAAAATCTCAAAAGACTAGGAGCAAATTTTAGATGCAAGTTACTCCAGTCAACTAAATTAAATTATGTCTTGATATCTCCAACTCTCCACAACGATTCATGAAAATTGGCTTGGTAGTCAAAACAGTCACTTTTACACCCCAGTAAAGACCCACAATCTGAAGAAGGCTTTGAGTAATGAATGCATGTTTTAGGACCCCAATGCACTCAAAGAAAGAGCAAATAAAGACCTCACTGCCGTGCCTTCTCACATTGGCTGTTCCTGGACAAAAAGATCAAAAAAAAAAAAACACACATCCAACTACTACACAGACACATTATCCATATATAAGCAGCAAAGGACACACTGATCATTTCAAGCTTGATAAAAATCAACCGGACTGCCACTGATTTGACGGGCACATGTAGCATTGGATGCTGGTCATCTTCCTCCAAGTGGATACAAGTGGTCTCTGGTGCCTGCGGCTGTCCGACAGGGCACAAATCAATATGAACAGGTGTGGTGTTTGCTCAAAAGCAGCTTCAATTATTTGTTATGGGACTTCCAGTTTCACAAACTTAAATTTCCCCCAACCATTTTCTTCACAAAAGCCACTTTCCCAAACTTGTCATGCAGCTTTTGTAATTCTGGGATAAACAGCACTGAAAGTGCAGACTGGAGTTCTAACTTCAGGGTGAGAAGGAAAAGCAGGAGGAAAGGACAGTCAACTACTGATCAGTAGGTCAGTTGAACGCTATGTTACTCCGAAGTTGTCCACCTGTGCATCCACCTGTGTGTGAGTGTGTGCATGAAAGGGTGAATCCCATGCAATGTAAAGCTCTCAGAGGTCAAGTTGACAGGAAAATGCTGTCAACTTGAGAGGTACAAGGCCATTTACCATAGCTATGGATTTTTTTATTTACAAATAGTCTGTAATTGTTATAAAGTAAAAATAACTAAAGTTACCAATGATCCATTAATAACACTAAGAAATGCCAGTGGGACTAAGCAACAAATTCCATCATTAGAAAGAGGCTAAATTTTTACCTCCATTTTTTAGGAAAAAAAAGGGGGAACATTTTAAAAGTTTTCATTAAGTTTGACAATCCATAAGTCCCTAATTCAAAGTAAAAAGTGAGCAAGTATCTCTGAAGACTTCTAAAAAAGGAAAAATGAATGATGCTAAATGGCTGAGAAGCAGCGGCATTGATGGAAGAATTAACCAAAACGCTGAACGTGTCAGAGGGACAATGTTTTAAAAAGAAAGAAATAATCCAATGAAAGAAAAAAAAAAAGAAAGAAAAGAAACTCTTGGTGATCCATATGTCTTTTAGTCTCAGCTAATCGATGGTCAAATGCAATTGATCACTGACCACTACTGGCATTTCCATCTCCAGCAGTGGAGCTCTAAAAGGAAATTGAACCACGTTTCTGCCACGCACCCACTGAGGCATAAGCCTTCTTACTCCAACTTCCTGTCTGATCAATGTGAGAAACAATGGCTCAACAGGTGCGACAGACAGGAGCCCAGCAGCAGCCTTCTTCCCTGCTGCTGTCCCCAATTAGCACCCGCAGATAAGGAACAAAGAGGCGACATTTCATTTAAGCAGAGTGCCAGTTTAAGGCCTCTTCTCCCAACCTCAGCCTCTTTTCTTCCTGTCTTTTACTGCTGACATCTTTAAAGGATCATCCCAGGCTGCATCATTTGCTATTAGATTGGGTCGATGCCTTGTGTGGCAGAGTGGCAGGGGTGTTAAAAACATGGGGTGTTGATGAATTCATTGCATGTGACTGGACTTACTTTCTTTGTGTGTGGGTTTCGCCAAATGAAACCCCCCTGCAGGTCCGTCAAAAAGCAAGTATATTTTAAAGGGTTTGGCCTAAAGATTCAGGGTTTCTTCAGAAAATTAAGCAAAAGTGATGTAACTCAAGAAAGGTTTTTAACTTATTTGGCAGGAAGATATCAAATTATTGCCGTTAACTATCATTTTTATACAAAAGCAATTCAGAAAAAGTTGTAATTCCAAGTTTATTTTTGCCCATTCAATATATCTTGGACTTTAAAGTGAAATATAATTGAATTTGCAATAAACTTGGACTTACCAGCAGGGTTTTTTTTAAAGCCAGTTGATTGAACCAGAATGGCTTAGTGGGAGTTAATTTGGGCTCTGTTCTTTATACATGTGGGTTTCCCACACCTGTTAATGCCAATTCAAAAGATGTATTTAGAATAATTTTCAAAAAATGTTCAACATTTGTAACCCTCTCCTGTGACCAAATTAAGTATTAAAAACAGTAAAACCAACCTTATCATCAGGCACCAACAATACCATTAACTTATTTACCTACTTGGACAGCCTCTGTGGACCTTGAACGAGATGAGGTGGGTGTGGAAGATGGCCACACGGACAGACAAAACAGTCCATGCACAGATAATTATGACAGAATTCAAATTTTAAATGGGAATGCAGTGGAAATCCCTCACACTTCTTTAAAAAAAGAAAGGGCCCCGTAAGTTTATTGCATGAACAATGTTTCTCCATGAAATAAAATGTGATGGCCAGGTAAACAAGATTGCATCCACCAATGATAATTGCAACTTGACTGACCGAAGGTCTTATGAGAAGCACATTTAAACATTTTTCTTAATTATTTCACACAAAGGTATCATTACCTATACATATTCAATTAGTTTAATAAAGCAAACACATGTGGGCAACGTATCACAATAAAACATGAACGCAAAGTATTTCTCTGATGAAAGCATTCAAAAACAACTTAGCTGGGACAGAAAACTGATGTCTCTCATTTTCTTGATTTAATTGTTTATGTTTATGTTGTTTATGTTTATCTGTCTGCCAAAAAAGACTAATAAAAATAAATAAACAACTTAGCTAACTGACGAACTCTTTCTCATCTTTGATCAGATGATGGATTATATTATAAAACTTCTTGAATTAGGGCATTTATACATAATTAGAATTTGTCTGCATTTTGGAAAAATGTGACCAAGAAAATTCTTAATGATCATACAAGGATCAGCTTCAGGTTGTGGGAAAACCACTCTCACAGAGCAAGAAAAGGATATCTATCGTCCCACTGTTTCAAGGAAATGTGGTACTGATGTGGTTTGTTGATCAAAACTTCAGCGCGGATTCTCCGAGACCTTTAATGCACAGTGCGCATGCGTAATCTGACCAGAGCACTATCTTTACCAGATGACAAAAAAAAAAAGAAAGAAAAGGGGAAAAAAAAGAGAAACAGATTTGGCTAAAACATTTTACTCTTTCATTTGGTTTTACAGATATTTCAGCATGTATAACTACGACCCCAGTTAAAACATAATATTTTTGTTGGCCAGCGAGATACGATCTCTGACGACACGGCCTGTCGACAGGCGGGAGGACGACACCGTTAGCAGAAATGAAGCAACCAGGAAGTGTTTGTCACTGTAATCACTGCGGGCTGCACCTAGCATGAAACTCCTCGGTACCACTCTGGGAAAAGCCACCTCGATCTTAACTGTCCTAATTGTCGTCATTGCACTGGTTTTGAATTATTTTGACGACCCCGTTCCGGCAAAATATACAAGGTAAAGGACGGAGAGCTTTGCTTGCTTACTTGCTTGCTTTCACGAGTACCAGATTGACAGATTTACTTAGATTTAGCGTTTCAGAGGTACGTGCATGTTCAACTTTGACACAATGTCACTGAAAACGTCTTGTATCGGACCACTGAACGTGTTAGACGTGTGCCCCGTGCCAAACTCCTTCAAGAAATCCTTTAGTTTAACGTTTTCTTCCGATTTCGTAAATGTTGTCATCTTGAAATTTGAATTAAGACTTCTGTCTTCAACATTTGAATGTCCTTTCTCATTCGTCGTAAATTGTTTGCATAAAAGTCGTTAAAAAGCGCTTTAATCATGATAATTGAGGGTGTATGCACATCTGGATCCAGCGTGAGACTCGTGTGTGTTTCAGTTTGACATTACCTGCACACTTATGTCTCTGCGTTCCTTTTGCCGACAGCATGGCAGAAGACATGAAGACCATGGAGGAGAACTTCAGGCACCAGAACAAAAGCTGCTTTGTTCTTGGAGCTTCTGGAGAAACAGGCAGGCTGTTGCTCAAAGAGCTGCTGGAGCGCAACCTGTTCTCCAAGATAACCCTCATTGGACGGAGGCAGCTGACCTTCGAAGGAGAAGCAAATGAAAACCTGGTCAGTGTTTTAATGTCGTTTCTGTGGCCGAGACCGTGCTGGATTTGGCTTCACACTGTCGTTTGCCTGCAGATTCAAGAGGTGGTTGACTTTGAGAAGCTTGACGACTACGCCACCGTGTTCCAGGGCCACGATGTGGGCTACTGCTGTCTGGGAACAACAAGAGCCAAGGCCGGGGCTGTGAGTCAGCTCTATTCTGCACTAATAAATTCATCTGGATTTCACAGTTAGAGTTATATCCCGTTGTCAGCAGTGACTAAGCAGTTTCACCAATATAATGGTCCACATTCTTTAGAGTGTGGCCGACAAGTTCACATAAGTCCTGTCAGATGAGATCACAGTACATACTAAACGCTCCCTCTCCTCTCCTAGCTGTGACTATAACTTAAAGTGACTCAACCTGTGCAGCGGTTTTACTCACAATATTACACAATAACGCATCAGGTTTTTTCCACGACTAACCCATTTTTCTGAGGTCTTAATGAAATATTTGTTAAATGCAATAGCTGAAACAATAGAGGCATTTTCAGTTATTCAAAAGCAATCATTTATTGGGAGTCTCCAGCCCACCCATCGTAGTATCCAAGAACTCCTGCAGCATGTTGCCACTGTATGAGAGATTATACTTTTAGAAATTGCCGGAGAGCCAGGTCCACTGATAGATTTATTTTCAATATACTTAAATTTTCCTGTTTTTCAGATGGAACGGGGACAGCTGGTAGGCTGTCAGTCCCTCCTCACTGGTCCCACATTTTTAAAGTCCAAATTGATGTAATTTCTTCAAACTTGACTCCTTAAACTCTGGACTTTGACAGTTTATTCTTCCGTTTCCCGTATGAGTTTAGTCACTGATTTGAGAACTGATGAGAAGCAGCAAAATGCATATATAACAGAACAAATAAGCTTCTTTTGCAAATCTAAAGTACCACAGACACATTTTTAAACATTCTGATTGGAGTTGTTTTTTCTCATTTGAGTTTGAAATGCCTTGACATCTTTGCATTATCTTTAAACACCACGCTGCCAAAAGCCCTGAAGATCACGCTGCTTTGTCAATCATATTTCAAAGCCTTTTATCATATAAACATATTACAGATAATAGCCCATTTCCCTAAACTGTTGAACCATCTTCCAAAACTCTTTCCTCCCTTGTTTTCCCTTAAGATTATTCAGTTTTTAAATACCCAGTTAGAAAAAACGTTACGGATTTAATTAGCTGTGATAACAGCTAAACAAGATTTCCAGCTCTGAATATTAGAGGCTCATTAATGCCCCATCAGGCATCTTTAAAAGTAGATTTATCTTGATATTACCGAGGTATTATCAGACTATTGTTGAATATTGTTTCATATAGCAACACAGTTTAAAAATAATGGTGAAACTCTGTATTCCCGCATCTTTTTCAGGATGGATTCGTCAGAGTTGATCATGACTATGTCCTGAAAACAGCTGAGCTGGCTAAAGCGGGTGGTTGCACACAGTTCCACCTGGAGTCCTCCCGAGGAGCTGAGAAAAACAGCAAATTCCTCTACCTCCAAGTCAAGGTCCGCTCATCTTTATGGTCTGCCATGTACTAAAAAACCAAAAAATACTTATTTTTTTGTTAATCTTAAGTAACATAATGTAAGTTAACCGACTGCTGATCCTTTGCCTTCAGGGACAAGTGGAGGCTGACATCGAGGCACTGGGTTTTGATAGATTCTCCATTTACAGACCAGGGTGAGTGAACAAATTTACTCAATACTTTGCCAGACCTAAATATTTAGCACATAGGGAAAACATTTCCAATTTCAGGGTTGTATTGTTAGAGCAAAAATACAGCCTGTCAAAACTGGCTAGTTAATGATATTTGAGAGCTGTCTGAAAAGATAAGCTGTTGCTCACAGAAAGTTTTCAAGTTTTCTGCCAGCTATTCAGACCTATTGACGATGAATGGGAATATCAAACCAGCCATCTGAAGTGGTTACTTCCTTTAAAAATAGCCAGATCCTTTGCATTGCATTCTCAAAATTGTACCTTTGTTTCCCAAAAGGGTTTTGTTGGTGGACAGACAGGAGAGCCGACCGGGCGAGTGGCTAGCCAGGAAGTTTTTCAGCGCCCTCTCTGCAGTGGGTTCCACATCCATGGCCGTCCCCATCCACATGGTGGCTAAAGCAATGGTGTCCAACACCCTGCTTCAGCCTGAGCAGAAGACTGAGATCCTGGAGAACAGCTCCATCGCCACTCTGGGGAAAAGTGAAGGGAAATAAGAGAGGTGAAACCATATTTTCCTTTTGGTCCGATAAACGCTGTTTGTTGACATTTGTCTTACGGTAAAAATTCAAGAGAGATAAAAGGAATTGATTTGTTCTAATCTGTTTTTTTTTCCTCTCAGGTTTTTAAGGAGATACTCAGAAGGCCACGTTCTGCAATAGTGAAAAAAGTGACATTTCCATATTTATATATTCAGCAATTTATTTAAAAGACAGCTTCCTTTTAAAAAGGAAAATGTGTTTAATGTCTTTAGTTCTACATGATATTGTAATTTTTACATCAGGGAAATATTGCCAAGCTTCTCACTTCGTGTGCTTCGTCACACTCAAGTGTTGCCTTAAAACGAATGTCAGTTGTATTCTAAATGCATTTCCTGGACTTTGTAAACTTGGTTAAATTATTTAAGTTTGTCATTAAATCAGAAAAAAACAAATGTACAAATTTATGAACTGGTATCATTGCATGTTTTCTCAAATACAGAGTACCTGCTCAATGCTATAAGCAAAATTTGTACACTTAAGAGCCAAACATTTATGTTGCACATTAACATCAGATGTCAGGAATATTAGTCAATTTTGTCTCATTTGAAATATGACGTCACATCATTTGTGTTAAAGGACAGGTGGTATCACTACGTTTTATTTTTTGGGCACAAACTTTTTCTTTTTTAATTTTCTTGGAAATATAAAAATAGACGGTTATGTTTTTTAGTGTGATAATCAGTTAAATCCAAACCCTTTTTATGCTCTTGATCGAGCAGCGCCCTCTTGTGACTAACAGTGGTTTCACAACTGTTCTAGAAAATATTTCAAATGAGACAAAATGGACTAATTATCCTTCAATTACCTGAACAAAAACACTGATGTAGACTTAAAAAACCTGAAAAAAGCGTCAAGGACAGTAGCAAGATTCAAGGACAGTAGCAGTTCTCAACACACCTTTGGATTTAATAAAGTATAAACTATAGAATAATTAAACTTGGTTAATAATTTGAAGGGTAAGAGTGTGGTCAAACGGTGAGCATTGCCCGCAAATTACATTACAAACTCTGCTATTATCTAAGACTTATAACTTCATTTAAACCACTTGCATCCATTTCACAGATTCAAAGAAGGTGTAATACTGCAGTAACTGCATGTAGAACATAATGAAAATAACATTTTCTTTAATATCACTTAAAGAAAGCACATTTACCTTTGATACGTTTCGGTAGGCTATCTCCTGCTGCTTTGAGGGCCATGCTGGTGGAGCAATTAGTCAAAAATGAGGAGCAGCTGTGATGAAACTGTACAAATACAGTATCCTTAAAGGGTCTCGTTTATACTTTGCTCCTTTGACACGTTGATTAAAAAAAAGTTGTATTTACCCTTATAGAAGTAAAGCCAAAGTATTTAAACTTCAAAAGTTGCATTAGTATATATTACTTTAATTTGACCTCTTTAACTTAATTATTGAAGATGACACACAGTCACATTTTTTTTGTTTCCCGTTCAATTAATTATTTTCCTTGTTAGTTAATGTTTTGTCCTCGTGGGGCAGCGCGAGAGCCTATTATGACAGCAGTTGATTAACTTTAGTGGCTTAGCTTAACTGCTCACGAACCCATGCTAGCACCGTTTAACATGGTTCTTTTGGTCTTACTTTGTGTATTTTTATTCACCTACCTCTGGTCCGCTCAAATTTACGTTTGGTCTTTTTCTCTACTTACTCTTGATGAAAAGTCCCAGATTTGCTTTGCTATGCTAACACGCTCGTCTTCCATTGACCCAGACTGTCTTCCAACGGCCACACAGGTACAGATTTGGTCTCAAAGGGAGGGCATATTCATCATTTTTACTTGTTAGGGAATGTACAAAATACAACGCTGATTAAAAGCCGTGAAAAATATATTTGAATTAACACTTGGACTTGATATGCTCACCATAAATCAAGCCGTGTTTGTATTTTAATGGTTTCCGCCAGTTTTAGAGCAATGGGCCGCCATATTGGATTTTAAGGTCGGCCTTTTAGAAGAGCAGTAGCTCCACGTGTGACATTTCGTGATAAATTTAATTTAATCGACTGTAATTGTACGCAAACTGCATGGATGTCAGAGCGACGGTGTTGATTTGGACCACGTGGATTTCAAGCTTTGTTTGCTTTTGGAATTGTTGGGTCATTTTGTAAGACACTAATAAGACTCCATGTGAAAGTTGTGTAAATCTTATCTAAATTTTCACACCCCTGGAATCTGTATACGTTTAAACCATAATTCCTGACACACCTGTCTCTGACCATGTTAGGAAATATCTAATCTCACTGTTATTCAGAAAATGAATTAAAGTTTTCCCCTGGAATTTGAGATGGGCTTGGTAGCAAATCTGGGATATTTCATCTCAAATTTGTTTGTGGGCTGAAAGAAATATGGATCTTTATTTGTATATAGATTGCAACTTTACGGAGATATCACAACTCAAGAGTGTACAAAAGAAAGTACAGAATACATACAACTTTTCACCAGAGAGATAAACTATTATACATTTAGCTGTATTATTTTAGATGTGTTTTAAATGTTTCAGTCACATATTAGATTAATGATGGGAGTTATGACTATTTATTATTTAAAAGTTTGCATTGTCAATTTGTAGTGACTGTACTTTTAATTTGTTTGGGTTGATGTCAAAAGAAGAAACACTTTAGTGACATCTGGTGGTTTGTATGTAGAAGTGAATCTGACTGCGTACGTGGGGACGTCACCACACGTGACCAGGAAGTCTTCTGAACCAAGCGGCATCATGGCAGAATACACAGACCCACGTGAGTGTTGTAAATACCAAAATAGAAGCTTTTAAAAAATGAACTAAGTAACATTTAAACGCTTGTTTGGCTGTCGGGTTTACTTTCCCTTCTTCCGTTAGCATATTTAGGGTTTAGCCACGTCATTTGGACGTGTGTAGCATCCTTCTCAACCGAAGTGGCTTGATAGGCTAATTTAAACAAAGATAATGAGGTAGCATTGCTCTTAATCAAACTGTAATAGAGTTTTAATTTGACAGACGACATTGGACCAACTGAAGACATGCCTGAGCTTTCTGATGGAGATGATGACGTCGATGACGGTGATGACGACGAACAGTGGCAGTGGATGGAGGATGGCAGTCAGGAAGTTACCTGTCTGTTCTGTGACAGGTCAGATATGATTGCATAGTTTTACTAACATTTCTGCGATATAACTTGAATTGCAGTTTTCCTTTAATGCCCCTCTAATCAGCAAAGGTGGAAATGTTGATCAAATTATATTTTAAGGCGATCAGAGGTTTGTGGTAAATCCAAAACATTTTCATTCCAGTGACACTCAACTAAGGTCATCAGTGGTGCTGTGAATTGCCAAGCTCTCGGAAGACCAAAATACCAACAAGTGTTTTGTTTAAGGAGTAAAATATGATTCACTGTTATTGTTTGGAATAAACCTGTCAATCTATGGAGTGGACATACAGAAAACAATTTCAGTCTCTTACACAAAAAATGGATTTCTTAAAGATAAAAAAAAAAAAAAAAAGATACTGATGCCATTTGAGGTGCTCTGAGAATTGTCTCTTAAAAAAATACTTTACATTTATAACACATTTTACAGTGAATATGACACTCAAATTGGAAAGAAATGTACTTTTTATCTGTCACAGCTTTTCTTTAAACTATGTCGTAATATGTTTGCTGTTAATTTAGTTTTATTTCTTGGCCCAGGTTTAACAAATTGGAGGCTTTTTCTACATGTGTATTGTTGTTTAGGTTGCTAAGTTCGGTACCTGCCACCTTGCAGCACTGCACAGCTGAGCACCAGCTCAACCTTGTAGATGTAATAAAAAAACACGGTACGTATGGACAGCTTTTCTCAGCGTCAAAGAGAGACCGAAGGATTTAAAAAAAATATTTTAACTGCTTTTCCCTCCTTTTCTTCTTTAGGTTTAGATGACTATAGTTTCATAAAAATGATCAACTTCATACGGTCAACAGTAAGTACAGTCTGTCGTACATTTTCAATCTACTGAATCTTCAAATACTCCTCAGACACACTGAACTTTGATTTTTTTTTTTCACAGAAACTTGAAATTGTTCACAAGACATTGAACCTGAAACATCTGCATCAAATGCAGTGTTCAGATTGAATCAGTTAACAGAAAGAGTGGCTCAGCATTAAAAAGTTTTGTATTTCTAGATACCTCACACATGCGTTAACAGACCAACACGGTGTAGACAGACACACAATGTTTATCCACACAGATAAAAACACACAGAGACTAATACGCATTGAAATCTGTTAATTTGATTTCTCAGCTCTTTAAGCTTCGACGTATCTCCGTTTTGTCTGTTCAATATTTAGAAAAAACACTTTTAAGATAATATTTTACTGAGATCTCATTTCAGATGCAGTTGAAGTTGTTCAGTTGGATTCCAGCATTTTCATTATTTTACAGGGTCATTTCAGCTTTGAATTCTGTGGTCGCTGAACTGGCAGGATATTCAGCATAATGATAAAACTCACGCCTTAGTCAGATCTTAAAGTGCTTCATCCGATATCATGGAGCCTATAGAGATCAGCCATCAGCAGTCTCACACTTATCAGAGCTAAAGAAGTCCAGTTTCCTCTACTCACATTCTTTGGTTCTCTTTACTCACATAAATTTAGTCTGTGGATCAGATGCAGTAAAGTTGTTTGTTTCTACTCTAAACCAAACATGTGATGTTGGGCTATCAATCTTATTTAATTTAAGGGCTGAACAGTTGATTTGTTTGTTTACTTCTCAGAAATGTGGTCCATCCTGCCTGTTGGGGCTGCCAGACGGCCCCTTACCCTGGGAGAGTGAAGACTTCCTGCGACCAGTTCTGCAAGATGACCCTCTTCTTCAAGCAGGCACTTCTAATTCTATTACATTATTTTGTTGTTTTTTTTATTTCTGTAATTATTTTCTTGGATCACATCAGACGATAGTTTAGTCCTGTTTTCCTTTTTATTTCACTAGATAAACTCCTGATCAAATTTTCAACCCCACAAAAATTCCCTTTCTAATATAAATACATTTGATGGATTTTTAAATGGAATGGGTTTAGAAAAAAAGTTTTTTCTTCATATATCTGAATAAAAGTTCTATTTATGGAAAGCCCTGGGAGAACTTGGTCAGAAAAAGACGTGTTGGTTGATTTGGTTGGTTGGACAAGTGTTCACATGGCACCCTTTCGAAATGCAGATGTGTCTTGACCGTGTGCTGATCCCTCCCTTTTTGCCCTTCTGTCAGATCCTGAGGAGCTCTGTGGCAGTGAGGGTGTGTGTCTGCCAGCATGTCCTTCATCCCGGGCCGAGTCCCACGATGCCCTGCTGCACAGGGCACAGGCTGCTGAGGACAGAGCTCGCGGTTCGGAGGAGGCACTGGCCAGAGCCATGGAGGACCTGCACAAACTCAAGTCAGTGACC